AGAAGAAGAACGGTGGCATCGTGATGCTGTCCTTGTCCGTGCGGGTGCTGCAGTGCAACCCGTTAGCCAACGTGTCTACTGTGGCAGGTGAGCCTCACCCTGGGCTCTCTGAAAACTCTGATTTGGAGCTGAAGCTGGGTCCAAATTTGGGGAGGACTTCAGAAGAGCCCCAGGGGTTTGACCCACCTATTGGCAATAGGTACAGCTCCCCAAAACCCAATAATGGACGGTACACAGCACCTTGGTGCCGTGTGGAACTGGAGCCACGGAATCAAAACTGTGATACTGATGGGTATCAGGGAAGCTGTCAGACACAGAGCCCGGGTGCTGCCCATCTGTGCCTCTACAGGGGCTCCTAAAGCACACTGCCCCTACCTCTGGCCAAGGGACTGGACAGCTCCTTAGGTCTCTGGGGTCTTCTTCAGCTGTTCTCTTGTTCCTCTCTCATCCTCCACACCCGAGGAAAGGAGCCCCCACAGGTTCTCAGGGAGACTGGGAGGCAGGGTGAATCTTGGGTGGGAAATGGCCCAAACAGGGTGCTCTGGGGTCCACTCCAAATCTGAAGTCCAGTCTAGAGCCAGCTGGGATCACTTCAGATCAAACCTCAGGGCCCTCTAGTTGGTATCTCGGTGCCAGGCCATGAAGGAACTGGCCTGTTTGACCTACAGGCTGAAAAAAGGGGAATCAACAGAGGCCAGTCATCACCCCCACCCCTGCCCTGGAAGCCCCACACTGCTGACTTTCCATTCTTCAGATCACTTCGACCACATCAGGGCAGTCATTGGATGCAAGTTCATCGGGATTGGTGGAGATTATGACGGCGCTGGCCGGTGAGTGCTTCCCCGTGGCTTGTCTCGGGCTGGCTGGGCAGCAATGGGGCTTTCACAGCCACCGTGCCCACCACACTGTGGTCCTCATGGCCTTGACCATAGCCTCAGGTGTGCTGGTCCAACTGGTATCTCCCCTCTCCCAGGGTCTGCTACCTGGGCTCTCCTGTCTGTTTGGCCCTACTCTAGGTCATCGTATTTGTCTAAAACACCACACAGAGCTCATCTGCCCAGCATCTGTGCCCATCCAGTGCCAGCAGACCCACGGCCTCTGAGCAGACTCTTAGCAAGGTCTGGGCTGGGCTGACCATCTTTTCTGCCTGCAGTTGGGCCTGTGCATGCAGGGGGGTCAACCCAGTTCTTAAAAAGCTTTTCTTCTCTTTATAAATGGAGGCAAAAATTGCATTCAGTGAAAGGCATAGATCTTAACAGTACAATCTGATGACTTTTGGTGAATAGTCGAGGAGCTTTGGGGGCCTTCCTCTGAAGGATGAAGAGCAGGAGTGAATCATCTACTCTCTCCAAGTCTCCATTTTCCATATCTGACCAGGGCTTCGGTTCAGTGGACCCTGGACACATAGGGCTTTGGTTCTGACTCAGGACCAGGGGACAGGTCTGAGGCCCAAGAGCTGGCTGGCTGGCGGCCACACAAGTTCCCACAGGGCCTGGAGGACATGTCCATATACCTGGTACTGATAGAGGAGTTGTTGGGGCGTGGCTGGAGTGAGGAAGAGCTCTGGGGTGTGCTTTGAGGAAACGTGCGGCGGGTCTTCAGACAGGTGGAACAGGTATGCTGGGCTGGGCAAAAGAGTAGCTCTGAGCAGGTGGTCCGAGCAGGTGTACGTGGGGGTGCTGTGAGAGGTGCTGCCCGCTGACTGCCGCCTCCTGGTACGGGAGGAGAACGAGGGACAGAGTCCCTTGGAGGATGAGTTCCCAGATGAGCAGCTGGGCAGCTCTTGCCGCTCCGTCCTCCCATATCTGCATCAGAGAGAGGATCTGGCTCCAGACCAGAAACTAACCAGAGCTGTGGTTTGTGGGAATCCCATTTTGTCACCTAAGTGGTCATTCTCAAAATCTTGCCCCCACATGGGCCCAGGCCCCACAGTTATTGCTGCCTTCCCAAGTCCTCATTGTTTGGCTCTGGTGATCCAGTTAATCCTGCCAGATGTCACTTTGGCAGCCACAGATACCCCACAAAGTTTCCTTGCATGCGAGCACAAACATTTCCTGAAAATAAATGTTTTAGAAATGGAATCAGCACGAGTGTCTTTCTCCATGGTGGGGTCTGTGGTGCAGGCTCCCAATACTGGGGTTTGGTGGGGGACCCTGCAGTTTAGACACCAGATACTCAAGGAAGACCTGCTGGCAGTGGCCTGAGGAAACCCAGGTGGCTTGGCTCAGCACTGGAAGAAGACAGTGGGTGGCTCTGGCTGCGGGAGGGTGGACCTTACTCGGTTCCCTCTGTGTAGCTCACCTCAATCCACATCCTGACCCGCTGAGTACCACCTGGGGATCTTTCAGGGAATTCTGGTTCACATGCCCAAGAAGAGAACATGTCTAGATCACAAATGATCTTTGTACCTATTTGGACAGAGCCCAGAATCTCAGGCTACTTAATGGGCCATGGACCTCCAATGGCTAGACACCTCCTTCCCTGTTCCTCAGGGACTTCCCCTCTAATCGGTTCAGGCTACTTAGACAACCACGCCATCTTCCCCCAGTTCATCAATGATAATAGCAACTGCACTAATTATATCCAAAATTGAGTAAATACATTGAGTTAATCATGAGAGGTAGGGCTTCCCTGGGGGTGCAGTGGTTAAGAATCCACCTGCCAATGCAGGGGACACGGGTTCGAGCCCTGGTCTGGGAAGATCCAACATGCCATGGAGCAACTAAGCCCGTACGCCACAACTACTGAGTCCACGTGCCGCAACTACTGAAGCCCGGGTGCCTAGAGCCGGTGCTCCGCAACAGGAGAAGCCACCACAATGAGAAGCCTGCGCACCGCAACGAAGAGGAGCCCCCGCTCACTGCAACTAGAGAAAGCCCATGTGCAGCAACGAAGACCCAACACAGCCAAAAATAAACAAATAAATAAATAAATAAAATTTAAAAAGAAAAGAGATACAATACAGTATTGTTAACCATAGTTGTCATGCTGTACATTACATTCCAGAATGTATTTGTCTTGTAACTGGAAGCTTGTATCCTCTGACCACCTTCACCCATTTCCCCCCAACCTCATCCCCATAGGTTAAAATTTTAAATAGAGAAGCCCAGATAAGCTTCAATGAGAAGATGACATCTGAGCAGAGATTTGAGTTAGCCAAGTTGGTATCTAGTGGAAGAGTGCACAGGAGA